GAGGCAAACACTAAGTAGGAAAGCCCATGAGATCTTATCTCCAACTAACCAGCAAAAAGCTAGACGTGAAGGTATTATTCAAGTGGGAGAGTGCCAGCCTTGAACAAAAAAGCTAAACAGACGTGAGAGACCCTTAGTTCAAGCCCAGTACTGCCATAAAAACAAACATAGGAAAAAATAAATGGTCCTTGCAGTTTAATTCCAAATCCAGCTCCCAGAAGGTAAGGAGCAGAACAGATGTGTCAGCCCTAACTGTCAGTGCTTCCTCACCAGTGAGGAGCGCTAATTAAACTCCATCCTATGGCGGGGCCAGCGATGGGCTTGGGGACAGCTGTGACCTCCGCCTGACCCAGAGAAGAGCAGCAGAGTCAGCACTGGCTCCCCAGATGACGGAAGGCACTGTCAGCAGCGCGCCCGACAACAAGGAAGGCACCAATGGTGATCGTGAAGCACACCAGGGCCAAGTCCAGGACGTGCGCCCCCACCCTCATTCGTGGGAATGGGGTGGAAAGTCAAGAAAATTTACTCCAAGAGCTTATGCTCAAGTAAGAAAAATCCAGGTATTATAAAGCACACGGAAAGCCAGGCATGGGACAAGAAACCATGTGCAAGACAGTAAATAATAAAACATGAACCTCAGTACAACCACATCTTCAGACACTAGCTTGACATGGCAGAACAAAAACAAAAGAATAAGGCGAAAGAAGGATCATCTTAGGAGAAAAGCCACTATTTTTCTTTGCTGCAAGAGCAAGAGGACAGTAAGGAGGAGAGAGTGCAGGCATGGCTGCGTGGAGTCAGTGGGCGCAGCTTAATACCCAAGCAGGACAGAGCTGGGGGCGCCATTTCTCCCAGGAGAGTTAAGGTGGTCGGGTGGGTGCCAGGCTGTAGATGATGGTGATCTCTGCCAAAAGAGGTTGGAAGGGGACGTATGGGTGGAACATAGAAGAAGTTCCAAGTCTTATCAAGAAGGGACAGACTTCAGTTTCAGCAGGGAATTAGAACAGAAGGCAAAAAGCTCGATAGCCTAATGCACAGAGTAATGCGGTAGAATGGGAGTCAGCTGGAAGCTCTCTAGACCTGAGGAGGAGGAGAAAGGGCCTTGCTCCAGATCTCGTTACTTGTTGGTCAGAGGTCTTAGGGTCACAGTCAAGCCAAGATGACCCTGGCCTGGGTCCTGTGTGGAGTGGAGCCTGGCAGTCATCACTGCTGGCCTCTGGGTAGGAACAGAACAGTCATGGACAATGTCACCTTCCTAGAACCACCTCCCTCGCTGCCCTACCAGGAAGCCAATGCAATCCACCGTCTGTCTGGCCATTGCTTCAGGTGGAGGTTAAGTCTGGGAGCATCTTTCTCAGGCTGGATACACTCTAAAGCTTGCAATTAATAAATTGATTCTAACTACTTTGATTCTGGAGCTAAAATGCAAATAAAGATTTGCCTTTGAATTGGCTGCTATGGTGATCTTCAGAGTGGAACTTCTGAAGGTTAAATAATGAAGCGTAATAGTAGAGCCCTAAACCATGGTTCAAAAGCAAATAAGCATTTTTAAAGAACATTATCAGAAGAGAAGGCAAGGAACAATGAGATGGCAGTACTAATCACCATAACATTTTACTACAGCTACCCACCGTCTCTGTTTCCACATTCCTGAATTCAGCAAATAAATGTGGACCCAAACTGTGCTGGCTGTTTCCTGGTCTCTGGTAAAGCTTGAGAATAGAAACCATTCTCCATCCCCTAGACTCTGGCCAGCTTTCTCTCATCTCTCTCTGTGTCTCCCTCTCTGTCTCCCCTTCCCTCCCCCCCCACCCTGTTTCTCCCTCATCCTCAGTCTGTATCACTTTCTGTAGCAATTTCTCTTAATCTACTTCTTTCACCTCCATTCGTCCTTTCTCTTTGTAACATTTTCATATCTTTTTCATTCTCTTACCTTCCTATAATCCTGGCTCCCTTTAACTTCTCATAATGTTGAACAGAAATTCGATTTTAAAATATGATATATAGTACCAGTCGAAGTGGGCTCATCAAAGTGCATCCCCTTTGGACAAACAGCACCAAGTTGCACTTAGGAACAGGATGGTGCAGGTTCTGCCCGCCTTCTGACAACAGCACTGGAGGAAGGCAAGGCCAGCGTGTGCATGCCTCGGGACGGATGGGGGAGAAGGTCAGGGTGAGTTCACCATGGGACTTTCCACAAGGACCTTGAGGAGCAATCTTGTAGTGGGGAGCCTAGCTGAGCACTGTCACCTGGCTTTTTGGATTGTCACACTGCTCCTCTAAGCAGACTGATTACCTGCAGTTGCAGAAACAGGTGTAGAAAGTACACAGCAGAGCTGGACCTGGGGACCCATATGTCTGATAACAAAGAAGATGGCCCCCAGCTTAACAGCTCTGTCTGCCAGGATGAAGGCCAGTCATGAAAGGGAACCACCATGAGCTGACCTAAAGGCGCACGGGCTCAGTGTACACTCTCAATTCAACTCTGTGCAGGAGGCCAACAAGTAACAAGTAACTGTAACAAGTAACAAGTAACTCCACAGTTTCCTAGAATGGATGTGCCACCAATAAAGGATTGGTCAATGCGTGAACTGGAGTCAAAGCCACAAGTACTAGAAATTTCTGAACTGGAAAAGCCATTACCCAATTCAGGAGTCACAGCTCCCCCCCACCCCCAAACAGCCCCAGGGACCATCCTAATCTGACTCAATCACCGTCTCACAGTTCAAGGCCTGAAGATCCCACATATAAAGAAGACCTAAAAATTCTTGCAGACACTCTCACTTAGACCTCATTTGTCACTAAGAGTCACATTTTTAAATAAAAGTCATGAGAACCTTAAAAAATCATGAGGATGAAAATATATACATGAAGTTGTGAACCTTGGTATCCCAAACTAGTACATCACTCATTTTATTTCAGGAAGCTCTGAGACCTAAGGGGCAGCTACACAAGTCTATTGTTTAGAAGTTGGCCAATCATCAACTATACCTGATACCCTTTTTATTGCCTCTCCCCTTACAGATGCTCTTTCCAAAGTTTCCTTCCTCCCTTCTTTTTGGCTTCTCTCTCCCACCCCCCATTTCTCCTTCTTTCCTTCTTTCTTTCTGGTGCTACAGACCTAAACTCAGGCCTTCATGCTAAGTACTCCACCACTGAGCTATACTCCTAGCTCTCAGACAATGTAATAAGTCATATTTCTCTTCAGCCTTCATGTGAACATAAATTCAAATTCTCTTCATCAGTACATAGCTTACAATGTAGAGTTTGAACTTTTTTTTCCTAACATGCTTCTTTCTTTCTTTTTTTTTTTTGTCGGTCGTGGGGCTTGAACTCTGGGCTTGGGCGCTGTCCCTCAGCTCTTCAGCTCAAGGCAAGT